GGTGGGACTGACCACGGTGGGTAGCAGGGGGCTGGGGGGCGGGGCATCCGTCAGCATCTGCAAAGCTCCAGTCAGTTCTGCTAGCATAAGAGCGTACCCCTGTGTCCAGTCGTATTTCTACACAACTGCCCATACTTTGTTGAACCGAAGCATAAAAATGGACAGTTTTCCCCGTATCTTTGAGTCTTCACTTTGTGGGCTTCTGTGTCACTAGAAAACTGTGATCAAATAAATTTGTAAATTTGTATATCTTTCTTTTGTCAGTGATTCTCAGCCCCTACAATAATAACTACTAAAAGGGCAGAAATGAAAGTGTTATCCAGAAGTTTTCACAGCATTTTTTAAGAGTCTGCTCTGCAGCTGGTTTGTCCTATTTTCAGCAAATTCCATTTAAAAGAAAAATCAGCATTTATAAAACAGCCACATTTGAGGGGTGATTACTGCTTTTTTTGAAAAGGATTCACGATAGCACATTTCCCTTGTGCATTACAATTTCATTATTTTTTAAATTTCAAAAGCAGTCCATGCTATTGGAAAACATGCAGGTGACACAAGGAAGCGTGTAAGTGAAAGTGAAGGGCCTCCTTTTAGTGCTCCTCTGCTTTCGCTCTCTGGAGTGAGCTTGGTAATAATTTGGGGAGCATTCTTCTGAGATCCTTTTCTAAGTACCACTCACGGATAGTTTTATGTCTCATTTACATTCAATCTGCCTAAAAATGATAATCAGAACATGTATCTTGTTTTATGACATGATGTCTTTTTTTTCCTGCCTATTGCATTCTTTTCATAGTAAACTTTAAAGTCTTATTTACGTTTTTTTTTTTTTTTCTTGAGATGGCATTTTGCTCTTGTTGCCCAGGCTGGAGTGCAATGGTGCGATCTCGGCTCACTGCAACCTCTGCCTCCTGCCTCCTGGGTTCAAGCGATTATCTTGTCTCAGTCCCCCAGTAGCTGGGATTACAGGCATGTGCCACCCTGCCCAGCTAATTTTGCATTTTTAGGGGAGACGAGGTTTCTCCATGTTGGTCAGGCTGGTCTCGAACTCCTGACCTCAGGTGATCCGCCTGCCTTGGCCTCCCAAAGTGCTGGGATTACAGGTGTGAGCCACCACACTCAGCCGTTTTAAACTAAACTTTTTATTTAAAAGTAAATGTAGATTCACATACGGTTTTAAGAAATAATACAAATCCTGTGTACACTTTCTTCCAATGATAACACCTTGAAAAACTGTAATATTACAACCAGGATGTTGATATTTATGAACAATCCAGGGATCTTTTTCAGATTTTCCAAGTTTTACTTGTTCTTGTGTGCGCATGGGGGGGTGTGTGTGTGTGTTTATTTTTGGTTTTGAGACAGGGTCTCGCTCTGTCACCCAGGCTAGTGGGCAGCAGCAGTGGCAGGCTCCAGCAGTCTTCTCACCTCAGCCTCTCACCCAGCTGGGACTGCAAGTGTCCGCCACCACGCCTGGCTAATTGTTTTTTTGGTAGAGACGAGGTCTTCCTAAGTTGCCCTGCTGGTCTCCAACTCCTTGGCTCATGCAATCCTCCTGCCTTGGCTTTCCAAAGTGTTTGGATTACAGGCGTGAGTCAGAGTGCACAGCCAAGGTCTCCACAATTTTATCATGTTTAGTTTGTGTTCTTACCACCACAGGCAAGATACAAAATGGTTCCTCATCATTCTCCTGTGGCATTTTAAATAAAATAATTTGTGGTGTTCAATACCATGTATTTCTCCAGCTGAGGTACACATGTGACAGGCTCCAAAAGGCCACTGTTAGTCACTACAGTAGTACTGCCCAAGAAAACCCAAGAGCCACAAATGAAAGTTGCCTATGGCCGGGCGCAGTGGCTCACGCCTGTAATCCCAGCACTTTGGGAGGCCAAGGTGGGTGGATCACGAGGTCAGGAGATGGACCATCCTGGTCAACATGGTGAAACCCCGTCACTACTAAAATACAAAAAATTAGCCAGGCATGGTGGCAAGCGCCAGGAGTCCCAGCTACTCAGGAGGCTGAGGCAAGGTAATCGCTTGAACCTGGGAGACAGAGGTTGCAGTTAGCAGAGATCGGACCACTGCACTCCAGCCTGGCAACAGAGCAAGACTCCCTCTCACAAACAAACAAACAAAAAACCTCAAAAAACAAAAACAAACAAAAGCTGCTTATGAAATTAGACATTTCCCAGGAGCCAAAGGTAAAAGAGGTCAATTTAAATAATATATTTCAGAAAACCCAATATATCCAAGTATCTTCAACATGTAGCCAATATAAAAAGTATGAATGATTTGCTACTTTTCTCATACAAAGTCTTTGCAATCCAGTGAGCCTGCTCCTCTGCCAGCTGTTAGCATGGATTGAGCACCTACTATGTGCCTGACTCCATTCCAGGCCTGGGACACAGACCAGTTCTTGCCCTTTGAGAACACAGGACAATGGAAGGGACAAGCACAGTTCTAGAACATGACACAGGCCATGGCAGAAGCATGCACAGCGGGCTGGGAACACCTGGTTAGTAGAGAAGGTTCCATGGGGGCTTGGCCTCAAAGCCCAGTGGCAGCAGGGGGACCGACCAGAGGGAGCCCCAAGTGTCTGGGTGGGAGCCCTCAAGAGGAGAGGCACTTTGGAGGGAAGGCCCAGTGTGGTTTGGAGACATCCAGTAAAAGATGGCCCCTCCTCAAAGTGGGGTGCAGGGAAGGATTCTGGGCTTGCTGTTGAAGTTTTCTTGGAGGTTGATGTCACTGGAGGTGTGGCGATGACTCAGGCCAGAAAGTGCATGGGAAGCATGGAGAGTAGGGTACAGAGTCCACCATGTGGACAGCCAACATCAGGGGAATGCCCAAGGGAGAAAGAAAAACCAGGGACCAGCCGAGGAGGCCAGGCAGGAGGAGTGCAGGGATCTTCGAGGCAGGCCCCCAACCCAGTGGAGCCACTCCAGCCGCTTCTGTTCTGAGGTTACAATGGGTGATGGCTCTGTGGGGCTGCAATGAGAAGTGGCATGCAGGGAGGGCCAGGGGAGGAGAGACATGCTGTGGGTCCCAGGTTCAGATCCCAGGACTGAATTGGAAGGACCGTGTCTGTGTTGAAGTTCAAGACCTACCACTTTTGTTGCCATGCCTCTCAGTTCTTCCTACCTTTTTGCAATTTCCTTTTTGATAATTTCAGCTTCCTAAATGTATACATCTGACTTCACTTTCACTCACATCTCACCCTCACACCTCCACCAGCCCCTTCTCACTATTACACACCCAGGAGACACAGGAGGTGCAAGGAAGGTCTGGAGCCCCAAGAGCCAGGAGCCTCAGGAGTCAGGTGTCCAGAGAGCCAGGAACCCTGACACCCAGGATTCCCAACACCCAGGGGCCCTGATAGCCAGGGTGTTCCTGATAGCCAGGAACTCCAACAGTCAGAAGCCTCTACCACCAGGAGCCCCAATACCCAGGGTCCCCTACAGCCAGGAACCTCAACACCCAGGGGCCCCTATTATAGTCAGGAACCTCGACATCCAGGGGCCCCTTTTATTGCCAGGAATCCTGACACCCAGGAGCCCCTACTATAGTCAGGAATCTCGACACCCAGAGCTCCTACTATAGCCAGGAACCCCGACACCCAGGAGCCCCTACTATAGCCAGGAACCCCGACACCCAGGAGCTCCTAGTATAGTCAGGAATCCTGACACCCAGGAGTCCCTAGTATAGCCAGGAACCCCAACCCCCAGGAGCCTCTAGTATAGCCAGGAACCCTGACACCCAGGAGCCCTTACAGCCAGGAACCCCAACACCCAGGAGCCCCTATAATAGCTAGAAACCCTAACACCCAGGAGCCCCTACAGCCAGGAATCTAGATACCCAGGGGCCCCTACAGCCAGGAGCCAATACAGCCAGGAACCCCAATACCCAGAAGGCCCTACTGTAGCCAGGAACCCTGACACCCAGGAACCCCAATACCCAGCAGCCCCTACTATAGCCAGGAACCCTGACACCCAGGAGCCCCTAGAGCCAGGAACCCCAACACCCAGCAGCCCCTACTATGGCCAGGAACCCAGACACCCAGGAGTCCCTACTATAGCCAGGAACCCCGACACCCAGGAGCCCCTACAGCCAGGAACCCCAATACCCAGCAGCCCCTACTATAGCCAGGAACCCCGACACCCAGGAGCCCCTAGAGCCAGGAACCCCAACACCCAGCAGCCCCTACTATGGCCAGGAACCCAGACACCCAGGAGTCCCTACTATAGCCAGGAACCCCGACACCCAGGAGCCCCTACAGCCAGGAACCCCAATACCCAGCAGCCCCTACTATAGCCAGGAACCCCGACACCCAGGAGCCGCTAGAGCCAGGAACCCCAACACCCAGGAGCCCCTATAATAGCTAGAAACCCTAACACCCAGGAGCCCCTACAGCCAGGAATCTAGATACCCAGGGGCCCCTACAGCCAGGAGCCAATACAGCCAGGAACCCCAACACCCAGAAGGCCCTACTGTAGCCAGGAACCCTGACACCCAGGAACCCCTACAGCCAGGAACCCCAATACGCAGCAGCCCCTACTATAGCCAGGAACCCCGACACCCAGGAGCCCCTAGAGCCAGGAACCCCAACACCCAGCAGCCCCTACTATGGCCAGGAACCCAGACACCCAGGAGTCCCTACTATAGCCAGGAACCCCGACACCCAGGAGCCCCTACAGCCAGGAACCCCAATACCCAGGAGCCCTTACAGTCAGGAATCTCGATACCCAGGGGCCGCTACAGCCAGGAACCTCCACAGCCAGGGGCCTTGACGGCCTGAAGTCACTACAGCCAGGAGCCCCGACAGCCAGGGACCGCGGGAGCCCGGAGGCCCGCAGCGGAGAGCTCGGGCCTGGCAGGGTCGGAGCCCCCCGGCGCCACGCAGCGCCCGCCGCCGCCCGTGGGATTTCTCCGGCTCCGCAGCAGCCGGCGCCGACGGGGGCGGGACTATTCCCCGCGCAGGCGCTGTGCGCTCCGCCGCCCCGCCCACATCCGGCCGCGGGCGCTCGATTGCTCCTGTCTGGTGGCGGCAGCATGGCGGCGGGGGCGGCCGAGGCGGCTGCAGCGGCCGTGGAGGAGGTCGGCTCAGTCGGGCAGTTTGAGGAGCTGCTGCGCCTCAAAGCCAAGTAAGCGGGGAGGCGAGCGGCAGGAGTGAGGAGCCGGGGCAGGCGTGGCCGCGGGACCGGGCCGGCGTGGGACGACGGGCCGCCCAGCTCGCTTGGCGCCCGGCTCGCTTCGGCCTCGGGGGACCGGGCCCGGCGCCGCCCGTGGACTCCCCCGAGCCTCAGGCGCTGGCTGGCCCGAGCCGCGGGCTTCCCGCCCCGGGACGGCGAGCAGGGCGCGACGTTTGCCCCGCAGCCCCAGCCCCAGCCGGCCCCGACGCCGGCGACGGCTGTCCGAGCCCGAGGGCGGCGACCTTCCCGGCCCCTGGCCTGGGCAGCCCCGCGGCGGGACAGAGGCGGTGACTCAGCTGTGCCGAGGGCGGGGTACGGGGTGCGGGGCGGCGCCGGGACCCCGGCCCTCCACGCCACGGAGCGGGGGGCCACGGCTGCGGGCTCCGCCTTTGCTGCGCCCGCCGGGAGAGGGCTGCGGGCTCGGCCCCTGCCTCTTCGCCTCCCTCCGGGAACGCGCCTGGCGCGGGAAGAGCGGCTGGGGGAGCCCCGCTGCGCTCGCGCGGCCTGGCCGGCTTTGGAAGTCAGCCTCTAAAGTTTGTTGGTCAGCGGGTAGAGTCAGTGTGCAGACTTAACCTGTTGCCGGAGACGGAGATCCCTGTTCCGTGGACTGGGTGAGTGAGAGTCTGTTCAGGCTCGGCAGCGGTGTCAAGCCTGCAAGCCTTGGGAGGACCACGGAAGGAGAGCCACGGGAAGGCATAGAAGACGTTGTCTGGGTGTGCTGGAAGCTCCGAACTGCAGACATGCTTACGAGTCGGTGCTTACTGGCACGCCTGCTTCCAGGGAAAGGTCTGCACGTGGACTCTCCGTGGTGATTCATACCACCTCGCATTGTAGACCACTCGGAGGACTGAGTTGTTCTCTCAGTTGTATTAGTGTTTTGTTTTTTTTTTGACTATTACAAAGTTTATTTCACAAAAAGTCTAATATGAAAATGTACATGACCTAATTTTTACATCACAGTAGAACAGGCCCTATGGAGAGGACACAGGTTTCTCCGCTGAACAGCCGTTATTTGTACTCGTTCCAAGGCTTCTAACATGATGATACTATTTCCTCGTATTACCACCATTCCAATATTGTTCTGTTGTCCGCTAGTCGCCATCTCCATACATTCATCAATCACAAGATTCATAAAGGGATCAAATCCCCGCAATATTCCTTCAGCATGGCTGCCACCATTTAATTTCAACGATAACTTCTTGTCCATAAATTTTTTCAACTCGGGAGGGTGAGCTTTGCTCATGATGGCTACTCCGCGGGCACACACCATATTAGTGGTTTTTAAGGGAACTCTCACGTGGGATTGCCTGGGATCCAGTCCTAACCCAGCCACTCACTAGCCGTGTAACCCCTGGGCACGTTTCATACCCAAGCCTCAGTTTCTCAGCGGTGAAATAGATTAGCGCCTATTAATACCTCAGGGTTGTTGTGAGGGTTAAATGAGATGATGCACGCAAAATGTTATTTTCTTTTTTTTTTGAGACGGAGTTTCGCTCTTGTTACCCAGGCTGGAGTGCAATGGCGCGATCACGGCTCACCGCAACCTCCACCTCCTGGGTTCAGGCAATTCTCCTGCCTCAGCCTCCTGAGTAGCTCGGATTACAGGCACGCGCCACCATGCCCAGCTAATGTTTTGTATTTTTAGTAGAGACGGGGTTTCACCATGTTGACCAGGATGGTCTCGATCTCTTGACCTCGTGATCCACCCGCCTCGGCCTCCCAAAGTGCTGGGATTACAGGCTTGAGCCACCGCGCCCGGCCCGCAAAATGTTATTAATAAAACGCCTAGTATGCAGGAAACACTCAATAGATGTTGGCCCTTAGTTATTTCACTAGGGAGCAGAGTGGTTCATGGAATTCACAGGCAAAAAATGCTTTGTTTTCGAGACAGGGTCTGGCTCTGTCACCCAGGCTGCAGTATAGTGGCGCGATCACGGCTCACTGTAGCCTCTGCCTCCGGGGCTCAAGTGATCCCACCCATCTCCTCCTCCCATCTCAGCCTCCTGAGTAGCTGGGACCACAGGGCTTTCACCACTACGGGTTTTTTTTTTTTTTTTTTTTAATGCGACTGAGTCTGGCTTTGTTTCCCAGGCTGGAGTGCAATGGCGCAATATCGGCTCACAGCAACCTACGTCCATTTCCCTGGCTCAAGCAGTTCTGCCTCAGACTCTCAGGTAGTAGGGATTACAGGCGCCCACCACCACACCCGGCTAATTTTTTGCATTTTTAGTAGACTGGGTCTTACCATTTTGGCCAGGCTTGTCTCGAACTCCTGACCTCAAGTGATCCGCCCATCTCAGCTTCCCAGAGTGCTAGGATTACAGGTGAGAGCCACCGTGCCTGTCCAATTTTTATATTTTTTTTGTAGAGTTGAGGTCTTGCTATGTTGCCCAGGCTGGTCTTGAACTTCTGGACTCAAGCGATTTGCTCTCTTCAGCCTCCAAAGTGTTGGGATTACAGGCAAGAGTTACCACGCTTGGCAAAAATACTTATTGATGTAAATTTTGTTTTGTTTTGTTTTGGAGACAGGCTATTGCTCTGTTGCTCAGGCTGGAGTGCAGTGGTGTGATCTTGGCTCACTGCAGCCTTGACGTCCCAGGTTCAAGCGATCCTCTAAGCTCAGCCTCCTGTGTATCTGGGACTACATGTGCCGACACCATGCTGGGCTAATTTGTGTATTTTTTGTAGAGATGAGGTTTCCTCTTGTTGCCCAGGCTGGTCTTTGGAATGCCTCAACTCAAGTGATCCACCTACCTTGGCCTTGTAAAGTATTGGTATTACAGACTTGAGCTCCCAGACTGGCCCTGTTGATCTAAATTGAGTGAAATTTTGCTGACTGAATTTGAATTAGAGACAGGTAGTACTATGATTTTGTCATGGGGAGTGCAGGTGAGATGAGAGTATTGCCTTTGGAAATAGGGAGGAGTGAGAGTTACTAATGCTTAGAAATGCTTTATGGGGGTGATGAAATTAAAAGTATTATTTAAAACTGCGCTTTAGGCCGGGCGCGGTGGCTCACACCTGTAATCCCAGCACTTTGGGAGGCCGAGGTGGGTGGATCAGGAGGTCAAGAGATCGGGACCATCCTGGTCAACGTGAAACCCCGTCTCTATTAAAAATACAAAAAATTAGCTGGGCATGGTGGCACGTGCCTGTAATCCCAGCTACTCAGGAGGCTGAGGCAGGAGAATTGCCTGAACCCAGGAGGCGGAGGCTGTGGTGAGCCAAGATCACACCATTGCACTCCAGCCTGGGTAACAAGAGCGAAAAACTCAGTCTCAGAAGAAAAACAGAAACAAAACTGTGCTTTAGGCATTTCACGTTTACCTGGGAAATTGTTAAAAAAAAAAAAAAAAAAAAAAGCGGGTGTTGGGGGGAGCACTTAACATTTACTCACTGATGGAAGCTGAGTCCTTTTTTTTTTTTTTGGTGAGACGGAGTTTCGCTCTTGTTACCCAGGCTGGAGTGCAATGGCGAGATCTCGGCTCACTGCAGCCTTTGCCTCCCAGATTCAAATGATTCTTCTGCGTCAGCCTCCTGAGTAGCTGGGATTACAGGCACGCATCTGGCTAATTTTTGTGTTTTTAGTAGAGATGGGGTTTCACCATATTGGCCAGGCTGGTCTTGAACTCCTGACCTCATGATCTACCCAGCCTTGGCCTCCCAAAGTGCAGGGATTACAGGTGTGAGCCACCACACCGGGCCAAATTCAGGCTTTTTTTTTTTTTTTTTTAAAGACGAGGTTTCACCATGTTGATCAGGCTGGTCTTGAACTCCCGACCTCAGGTGATCCGCCCACCTTGGCCTCCAAAGTGCTTGGATTACAGGTGTGAGCCACCAAGCCCAGCCTAAATTCAGGTTTTATGGCATACTTTTTTTTTTTTTTTGAGACAGTTTCGCTCTTGTTACCCAGGCTGGAGTGCAATGGCGCGATCTCGGCTCACCGCAACCTCCGCCTCCTGGGTTCAGGCAATTCTCCTTCCTCAGCCTCCTGAGTAGCTGTGATTACAGGCATGCGCCACCATGCCCAGCTAATTTTTTGTATTTTTAGTAGAGACGGGGTTTCACCATGTTGATCAGGATGGTCTGGATCTTTTGACCTCGTGATCCACCCGCCTCGGCCTCCCAAAGTGCTGGGATTACAGGCTTGAGCCACCGCGCCCGGCATGGCATACTTTCTTGTTTTACTTTTTGGGTTCATATTGTTAGAAAGTTGGGTAACCTACTTTAAGTTCTGAAAAATATAGTTATATTATGAGTATTTTCCTGTGGCATTAAAAGTTCTTTGAAAATTTGATTTGTAATGGCTTTATAATATTTTCTTTTGACCATTTAAAAACTGTATTGTTGAGCATCAGATTTGTCTAGTTACTTGCTACGTAAAATAGTGGGAAAATATTGTCTCTTAGTTACTTCCTTAGGATTGATACTTATGTGTAAGAAATTTCTTTTTTTTTTTGAGACGGAGTTTCGCTCTTGTTACCCAGGCTGGAGTGCAATGGTGCGATCTCGGCTCACCGCAACCTCCGCCTCCTGGGTTCAAGCAATTCTCCTGCCTCAGCCTCCTGAGTAGCTGGGATTACAGGCACGCGCCACCATGCCCAGCTAATTTTTTTGTATTTTTAGTAGAGACGGGGTTTCACCATGTTGACCAGGATGGTCTCGATCTCTCGACCTCGTGATCCACCCGCCTCGGCCTCCCAAAGTGCTGGGATTACAGGCTCGAGCCACCGCGCCCGGCGTGTAAGAAATTTCTGAAAGATCTCAATTTAATTTTTACCAGCAGGATATGAAAGTACTTCTTGCCATCCTTTTTATCATTGGATATTATGATTTAAACAGTCCTCTTGTTGGCTGGGGACGGTGGCTCATGCCTGTGATTGCAGCGCTTTGGGAGGCCAAAGCAGGTGGATTGCTTGAGCCCAGGAGTTTGAGACCAGCCTGCTCATTGGCAAAACCCCATCGTTGAAAAGAACAAAACAAAACAAACCCAGAAAATACTAGCTGGATGTGGTGGCATATGCCTGTAGTCTGAGAGGCTGAGGTGGGGGGATCACCTGAGCCCAGGAAGTTGAGGCTGCAGTGAGCTGTGGTGATCATGCCACTGCACTCCAGCCTAGGCATTAGAGTAAGACTCTGTCTCCAAAAAAAAAAAATAAATAAATAAAATAAATGAATAAATAAAAAGAACCAACAAAATGCACAGATCTTAATCGTCAGATTGATTAATTTTGACAGTTTTATGCACAACAGTAACCCCCATTCACGGGAAGAATGTAGAACCCCTGGAAGGTTTCTATTCCCTTTCCCTTAACTACTGATCTCTTCCTGTCACTGTAGATGAGTTTTCCCTGCTCTTGGACTTTGCGTGAGTGGAATCATACAGTTCTTTTTTGTGTCTGTGGCATCTTTTGCTCACATATTTTTGAGCTTCATCCGTGTCATTTCCTGTGTTTGTAGTTGGTTTCATTTTACTGCTAAATTATATTCCGTTGTGTGAATATCTATAACTTTCTCCCATTTGCGGACATTTGACTAATTTCCAGTTTTGGGTTATTATCTGTAGGGCTGCTGTGAGCATTCTCGCATGAGGCCACTGTGAAACCTCTGTTTTTGTTCTCGCCATTATTAGGCCCTGGAGCCTCCCTGGATCCTCTTCATCGCTGGAGGCTATAGTGGACAGAGGCTCCTGAGGGAGGGTTTTGAGGGGATCAGGCCTTTGCTCTAGTTCTAGGGCCAGAATTCAGTTCCAGGGCCCCAGAAAACTGCAAGGTAGGCTGAGAAATGTAATCCAGCTGAATGCACGGGAGGAAGATGAAACAGTACTTGATTGAAACAGTGTCGTCTCTGCCTTGGACCTGAGGCCCCACCCACCTACTCAACCATTGAGGCTGCTGAGTTGTGCGGGATGCAGATTAACACCCAGTGGCTAGGGGGCCCCTACAATGTGTCCTTCCCTGCCTTAGGTGGGTCTTTCTTTGGAGCTTCCTGCTTTCCTTTTGTGTGCCCTTCATCAGTCCTTCCAGTGGTCTCTGCCCTCTGTTTTCCTATGTTTCAGCAAATGACTTTGCTTCCCACCTGAGAGAAAACAGGACTTCTCCCGAGCCCTCCTTCCACTCCCACCTCTCCCAGCACATACCATTTATTCATAGCCTTACCCATTCTTAATTCCTTGGCTCCTGACTCAGAGGAGACTGCCCTTCTTCTGCAAGGTAAGCTGTTCTCTGCTCTGGATTTCCCCTCTCCTCCCTTCTGAGTCCTTGCGTCCTGAGCTGTCTTGTGTCTACAACGTTTCCCTTTCCATTTGCAGTTTCCCCAGGTGAAGAAAACATGAAAATTTTCTTATTAAAAATGCCATTCCTTGATTTTGTCTTTTCCTCTGCCTGTACAGATCTCTTAGAGTGGATCTCTGCTTCCTCATCTTCACTTCTGTTCTCAGTGGACTGCAGTCTGACCTGTGCTTCCGCTATTCCACTGAAGTTACTCTGTTAGTTGCCTTTCCTGCTGCATTGGATGATTGTCACTCCCTCTTGATGCTTTTCTCTTGACTTCTGTGAGACCCTTTAATCTTCCAGTACCGCTTTGCACCCTTTCTCTGCTTCACTACATGAGTTCCTTCTCCTCTATCTGTCCTAATTTGATATTGATAAACCCCTGAGTCGCTGACCTCTGGTGTCTTCTGTGTCCCTCTGTATCCCTTTGCATTGTGGTGCTGGCAGGGCTCCTTTCTTGATTCCCAAATCTGCATATCAAGTGCAGACTTCCCTGAACTCTGGGCGTACTAACAGCCCTTTAAACTTCCTTCCCTCAGGTTGGCCGCTTCTGCACTGTGATTTGAGACATAGTGCCACCACTAACCATCAGCCTCTGAGCCAGAGCTTGGAGCCAGCTGTAGATTGTGCCTCATCTGTCACCAAATCCTGCCCCTTCTACCTTCGAAATCCTAGCTTCTCTTTGCGTCTGCTCTCCTGACATTGCTGTAAGCCTGTGCCTTTCCCACTGGTGTTATTTGATTGATTTTTACAGTCACTCCTTTCTTTACCCACAGGTTACTTGTCCTTGGTTCTTTTCACCACGGAACATAATTCTGTTTGTGATTTTTCAGAGTTTTTTTAGGAGGTGGTATATTTGAACAGAATTCTATAAAACTGAAGGATTTTTCAGTTGGATATGCCCATAGATGTTTTTGCCAAGAACATTTTGTATGAAAATTAACTAAAATAGATACAAATTATTACTCTGCTATTCTGTGTGTTCATACTATAAATATTCAGGATTTTTTTTTAAATGGGTCTTGCTTTGTTGCCCACAGTGGAGTGTAGTGGTATAATCATGGCTCACTGCAACCTCGACCTCCCGGGCTCAAATGATCCTCCTACCTCAGCCTCCCGAAATGCTGATTACAGGCATGAGCCACCTTGCCTGGCCTAGAGAAATCTTTTTTTTTTTTGAGATGGAGTCTTGTTCTGCTGCCTAGGCTACAGTGCAGTTGTGTGATCTCAGCTCACTGCAACCTCTGTCTCCCGGGCTCAAATGATTGAGCCTCAGCCTCCTAAATAGATGGGATTACAGGTGTGCACCAACACACCTGGCTAATTTTTTTTTTTTTTTTCCCGAGACGGAGTTTCGCTCTTGTTACCCAGGCTGGAGTGCAATGGCGCGATCTCGGCTCACCGCAACCTCCGCCTCCCGAGTTCAGGCGATTCTCCTGCCTCAGCCTCCTGAGTAGCAGGGATTACAGGCACACACCACCATGCCCAGCTGATTTTTTTGTATTTTTAGTAGAGACGGGGTTTCACCATGTTGACCAGGATGGTCTCGATCTCTTGAGCTTGTGATCCACCCGCCTCAGCCTCCCAAAGTGCTGGGATTACAGGCTTGAGCCACAGCACCTGGCCAATTTTTTGTATTTTTAATAGAGATGGGGTTTCACCATGTTAGCCAGACTGGTCTCAAACTGCTGACCTCAAGTGATCTACCCGCCTTGGCCTCCCAAAGTGCTGGGATTATAGGTATGAGCCACTGTGCCTGGCCTAGAAAAATCTTTTGTAGCATAATATTAAAAAGTATAAAAGAATGTGTTTGTGAAAAGCAGTTCTGTTCTTTTTCTCGTTTTCCACTGGCATGCCCTCATTTTCAAGATTTATTGCTGTTTCTATGGTCAGGGTTATGTTTCTTCATCACTATACCACATTTAAAAAGTAAATAATTATATTACTAGTAATAATGTGTCTACAACCATTTTTCACAAACATTGTGCCATTTAGTACAGAAATTCAGTTTCCACTTTCCTCAGGGGTCTGAAAATATGGTTGATTTACCGGGCTTTTTTTTTCTTTTTTTCTTTTGCTTTAAGTTCTGGGATACATATGCAGAACATGCAGGTTTGTTACATAGGTATACATGTGCCATGGTGGTTTGCTGCAACTATCAACCTGTCATCTAGGGTTTGAGCCCTACAAGCATTAGGTATTTGTTCTAATGCTTTCCCTCCCATTACTCCAACCCCCTGACAGACCCGGGTTTGTGATGTTCCCCTTTCTGTGTCCGTGTGTTCTCATTGTTCAACTCATGAGTGAGAACATGTGGTTTTCTGTTCCTGGGTTAGTTTGCTGAGAATGGTGGCTTCTAGCTTCTTCCATGCCCCTGCAAAGGACATGAACTCATTCCTTTTTATGGCTGCATAGTATTCCATGGTATATATGTGCTATATTTTCTTTATCCAGTCTATCATTGATGGGCATTTGGTTGGTTCCAAGTCTTTGCTATTGTAAATACTGTTGCAGTAAACATACGTGTTCATGTGTTTTTATAGTCGAATGATTTATAATCCTTTGAGTATATACCCAGTAATGGGATTGCTGGGTCAAATGGTATTTCTGGTTCTAGATCCTTAAGGTATCACCACACTGTCTTCCACAATGGTTGAACTAATTTATACTCCCACCATCAGTGATTTACATGACTTTTAATTGAGGTGGATGAATATTCAGATCTATTTCATATGGGCTTGATTTGAAATATCATTGACTTGAAAATTTATCTGAGGCCAGACGCGGTGGCTCAAGCCTGTAATCCCAGCATTTTAGGAGGCCGAGGCGGGTGGATCACGAGGTCAAGAGATCGAGACCATCCTCTTCAACATGGTGAAACCCTGTCTCTACTAAAAATACAAAAAATTAGCTGGGCATGGTGGCACATGCCTGTAATCCCAGCTATTCAGGAGGCTGAGGCAGGAGAATTGCTTGAACCCAGGAGGCGGAGGTTGCAGTGAGCCAAGATTGCGCCATTGCACTCCAGCCTGGGTAACAAGAGCGAAACTCTGTCTCAAAAAAAAAAAAAAGAAAATTTATCTGAAAGAGTCTCAAGACCTTGCAGAGTCATTTTGTATTCCAGTGTTATATACAGCAAAATTCTAGCAGTACGAAAAAACTCAGGTAGTTCTTTTAAAGTTTTTTTTTCCTTTTTCGTAATTTAATCTATATCAGTATTTGTTTGTTTCCAAAATTGGTATAATTTTAAATCAATGCATTTAATTGATTTACAGGTCTCTTCTTGTGGTCCATTTCTGGGCACCATGGGCTCCACAATGTGCACAGATGAACGAAGTTATGGCAGAGTTAGCTAAAGAACACCCTCAGGTTTCATTTGTGAAGGTATTTATATTTCAGTGTCATGTCTTTTATGAATTTAATTCTGATTTATGATTTATGGGTTAGATTAGGGCTGGACATGGTAGCTCATGCCTGTAATTTCAGCACTTTGGGAGGTTGAGGCGAGCAGATCACCTGAGTTCAAGAGTTTGAGACCAGCCTGGCCAAGATAGTGAAATCGTGTCTCTACTAAAATGCAAAAATTAACTGGGCGTGGTGGTGGGCATCTGTAGTCTCAGCTGTGTGGGAGGCGGAGGCAGGAGAATCGTTTGAACCCAGGAGGTGAAGGTTGCAGTGAGCCCATATCATGCCACTGCACGCTGGCTTGGGTGACAGAGTGAGATTCCACCAAAAAACAAAACAAAACAAAAAACACCAATGAAAGATTAGATTTTATTAACTAGTATAAAGAAGGAGTGATGTGGAATTCCAAATATCCCTGGGATCTGTTATTTTTGCAAATTCTTTTTTTTTTTGAGACACGGTTTTCCTCTTGTTGCCCAAGCTGGAGTGCAGTGGCACGATCTCGGCTCACCACAACCTCTGCCTTCTGGGTTCAAGCAATTCTCCTGCCTCAGCCTCCTGAGTAGCTGGGATTACAGGCATGTGCCACCATGCCCGGCTAATATTGTATTACTAGTAGAGACGGGATTTCTCCATGTTGTTCAGACTGGTCTCAAACTCCCAACCTCAGGTGATGCTCCCACCTCAGCCTCCCAAAGTGCTGGGATTATAGGCATGAGCCACCATGCCAGGCCTATTTTAGCAAATTATTCTTAAAAATTTTAAAATAGTTTTGCATTTCTCTTTTTTTTTTGGTTTTTTTTGAAATGGAGTCTTGCTCTGTCATCTAGGGTGGAGTACAGTGGCGCAATCTTGGATTGTTGCAACATCCACCGCCCGGGTTCAAGCGATTCTCCTGCCTCAGCCTCCCGAGTAGCTGGGATCACAGGCGTGTGCCATCACACCTGGCTACTTTTGCATTTTTTAGAGACGGGGTTTCTCCATGTTGGTCGGGCTGGTCTCGAACTCCTGACCTCAGGTGATCCTCCCGCCTCAGCCTTCCAAAGTGCTGGGAACCACTGTGCCTCGCCAATTTTGCATTTCTTACGTATTTCCTTGACCATCCTTGGGTATCGGGCATGATTACCAAATGTCAAGATAGCTGTGGGCTGGAGATTTGGAGTGCACAGGCAGAAAGTTAGTTCCCTATGGGTAACTGTGGTTTTAAGACATTTAAAATAGTAACAGAAATGACGTTATTAAAAACCTAGGTGTGCTGTGGAAAATAAGAAAGGATATGTAAAGGCTGCTGGGACCAGGGGACAGGAAGTTGCTATCTTGGTTCAGATGAGGGTGAAAGTCCTTCCCACCTGTTGAGAGTGCAGAGGGAGAGGGAAGCCAGTCAGTCTCTTCCATGCCTCTTGTGTTTTTCACTCTGGTTTTTTGTGTTCCTACATCCCTGCTGTCTCTTGAGTGGATACCTACTAGGAAAGCCGTAGTTGTGACTGTGAATCAACTCAATTAATTTAGCATATTAAAGTTATTATTCAGGACTTAGTACTGGTTTAGGCAACAAGGCCAAAATATGTGTGGAGAGTCTTAGAAATGAATTATGGGGAGGGGAGATGCACCTTGTATTCCAAAGCCTGAGTCCTTAAGATTTAAAAAACAAATGAAAAACCAAAGTCTTATTTTTTAAAACAAGAATTGGTGAGTTCAGAGTCCATGTTAGCCAATATACTAGTATATGGAGTTAAAAATAATGTCAGCTGTGTTGGTCTGTATGCCTCTTTTTATGTAAACTGAAAAACAGAATTCTGACAGGATAATTCATTTGTATAGTAGGTGATAAAATGTTCAGGCAATTTCTGTATAGGTAAGTTTGCTTTGAATAGGTATTACACTCAGATGACTCAAAATTCCAAGCACTATAGAGAGGTGTCCGTTCAGAAGGCTCACCCCATTCCTCCCTTGTCACCCTTGTGTCCCACCACATAAATAACTGCTTGTATTAATTTTGTATGAATCCTTCTAGTGTTTCTTTATGCAAATAGGGCAGATGTGAATATAGTGGTTAGCTTTTTAAAATTTAAGGACTTATTTAAAATTCCAATGAAATGTATAATGTAACTTTAGATTGTAACCCTAAAATGTCTAATATAAATAATGGACGGGGACATTAAAACTGCATGTTTGGTCAGTGATAAAAGATAATGATTACAAGTGAAATGAATGATTAAACATTTCAATCACAAGATTAATCAAGATGATGGTAATTGTTCTAAGCCTGCTTTTATGTGTATCATGTTACTGGTTTAAGCAACACATTGTTCTTCGCTGCTATCTGAATGATTTATTTAAAGTGACTATAGAATTACTTCTCGCCTTGGTATCAGACTTGGCAGTGAGATTTTACGTTGTTCAAGTGCTTAAGTATCTCTGTGAGCCAAAGGTTGGAGGAGCCCTCAGTGCTTTTGGGTTGTGGGGGATACCTGAGCTTTACTGCACCTGCCACTCAGGAGGATGATGACTGCATAAGATTGGTCTTCTTCCAGGAGTCATCACTTTCCAGAAATTCACTCTATAACGTAGTCTTTCTTTCATTAGACATCATTAAGGGCAAAGGTAATATGCATGGCATTTGTAAGGTAGCTAATTAAAAGCTACTTGCTCAACAGTAGTAAGCGAAAGAGAAGTAGAATGAGATATCATTGGTCTTTCCCAGTAAGAGAGGCATGCAGGCTGGGCGCTGTGGCTCACACCTCTAATACCAATACCTCTTGAGGCTGAGGTGGGAGGATTGCTTGAGGCCAGGAGTTCAAAACCAGCCTGACGCACATAGCAAGACCATTTCTACAAAGGAAAAACTGACTGGGTGCGGTGGCTCATGCCTATAATCCCAGCACTTTGGGAGGCTGAGGCAGGCGGATCATCTGAGGTCAGGAGCCTAGCCAACGTGGTGAAACCCTGTCTTTACTAAAAATACAAATATTATCTGGCTGGTGGCAGGCGCCTGTAATCCCAGCTACTTGGGAGACTGAGGCGAGAGAATCACTTGAACCTGGGAAGCAGAGGCTGTAGTGAGTCGAGATTGTGCCATTGCGCTTTATAGCCTGGGATGCGGGGGAAGCGAGAGACTTTGTCTCAGAAAAAAAAAAGGGAAAAAATCTGAAAAAGCTGTATGTGTTGGCGTGCACTTGTAGTCCCAGTTACTTGGGACGATGAGGCAGAGGATCCCCTGAGCTCAGGTCTCAAGGCAGTCACACCATTGAGTGGCAGAGTGAGACTATGTCTTAAAAAAAAAGAGAGAGGAATGTAGTTCATTTTAAAACACCTTTCTTTTTGTTAAGGAGAGTTTTTGGAAAGTTCTAGAGTATGAACTAACGTTCTTCTACTTCATCTTGTGTCTGTTTGATTTCTTAGTCTTTTTTTTGGAGAGAAGGTCTCACTCTGTTGGCCAGGCTGTAGTGCAGTGGTGTGATCGTGGCTCACTGTAGCCTCTATCTTCCAGGCTCAAGCAATTTCCCCCACTGTAGCCTCCTGAGTAGCTAGGACTACAGGTGTGTACCACCATGCCCAGCTAAGTTTTGTATTGTTTGTAGAGATAGGGTTTTGCCATGTTGCTCAGGCTGGTCTTGAGCTCGTGGGCTCAAGCAGTCTGCCTACCTTGGCCTCCCAAAGTACTTGGATTACAGACGTGAGCCACTGTGCCCTTCAGTCTTTTTTTTAAATGATAAAATAGTTTGGCATTTTTGGCTTGTGAAGTAAAGGGATCAGTTCATGTTTGTGACTGGGATTTATAAAATCATTAAATAAGTCATCATAAACTAGATATTTTTGAACAGATTGTAAATTTTTGTGACTGTCAACAATTTCTTATTTTGTAGGAGCTGATAAAATAACACCTTAGAGGAGTTAGTCACCCGTTTTTGGTCAGAGTAGTTAGTTTGTGCTCATTAGAATTGAATGCTGAAAGACAGGGTTTGCACATTTCTTGCATCTGAATCCCTCATTCTCTGTATCGATGATGTGCTTGTAAAGTGTATCAGGGCAGGGTATAGTGGCTCACACCTGTAACTCCAGCACTTTGGGAGGCTGCTTTGGGAGGCCTGAGTGGGAGGATTGCTTAAGGACAGGAGTTCGAGACCAGCCTGGGCAACATAGTGAGACTTCATCTCTACAGAATAAAAATTTAAAAACCTAGCTGTGTACACCTGTTGTCCCAGCTACTTGGAAGGCTGGAGTGGGAGGATTGCTTAAGTCTAGGAGTTTGAGGTTGCAGTGAGCTGTGATTGTGCCACTACACTCCACCTTGGGTGACAGAGTGAGACCCTGTCTCTTAAAAAAAAAAAAAAAAATGAAACAGTGCATCCGTACTCCATGTGGGTGCTGTGTTTACAATGGGTGGCGGTCCATTTACCTGAGTCACTGCCATATCTAGCGAGGTTTCCTGGGCTCCATCCTGAGGCTGTCACATCTCCAAGGGAACAGAGGAAACGATGTGGTATTTCTATCACTAAAAGGAGTTCGAGTCCAAGACCAGCCTGTCTAACAAGGTGAAACCCCGTCTCTACAAAAAATACAAAATTTAGCCAGGCATGGTGGTGTACGCCTGTAATCCCAGCTACTCAGGAGGCCAGTAAGAGCTTCAGCCTGGGAGGTGGGGATTGCGGTGAGCTGAGATCGCATCACTGCACTGCAGCCTGTGCAGCAGAGCGAGACTCTGTCTCAAAAAAAAAAAAAAAAAAAAAAGTCTTAAGCAACCTTATGTTTATTCAGAATAAAATGGACTAGTTAAAACGTCTTAGTGCCTTTTATTTTCAAATTACATAGTCAGTAGCTTCTGTCATACTGATCCTTGTTTGTGTCTTTACCTAAAATAGGAGTATACCTTTATCATTTAATTAATTGCTAGAATCTTCTAAAATGTGTCTGGCAGAGGGGGTGGGGGAGAGGAAGAACAGCACAAGGCTTTGTTGGGTGCCTGCTGCTGGTTGAAC